TCTCTGAAATAGGGCCATCATGCTTCATGTCAGAATTTAGCATGTAAGTAAAATTCATAGTGCTTCAAATCTCACTTGAAAATATTTGTGTGGGGAGAACAGAATGACTGATCATATTATCGTTAACAAAGTGAGATTCCCTAAAATTTTCATTTTTTAGCCTGAAACAGGTAAAGCTGTATCAAGACATTTATAAAATCACACATATAGCTCTGACCAATCAAATCAACGATAATACAATGCACCTGTCTAAGAAGGCTGCTCACAATGTCACATGCCAATGTTATATATTTCTCATCAATTTTTACAGTTCCTACTGATTAAATATATATTGACTCATAAAGCATTAACATCACATCAATTGTCACCAGATGCAAGCATATGCCACCTAAGTATTAACTGTCATGTAAAAATGGCAGCTTGGTTGTTTAGAAGCTATGATCTGGTATCACCCTTACCAAATTTCCCTAATGCATTAGCAATGTTATATAGCAAGGGCTAGTCTCTGTGCACTAATATGAAGCCAAAGGGGAGGAATAGTCTTTATGTAATATAAATATTGTATATAATTACTGAATTTCTTTTCTTTGGCCAAATATTTTTATAGATTCATACCAGGTTTATTGATATAGGAGAAAATGTGTTGGTGGGTTAAATTTTTCCATATTAGTAGAAGATAACGTTGCGGTCAGCTTAGCTAAGCTAAGCTCAACAGTACTATCCATTAAAAATTCAAATGAGTATAAATTGCTACTACATAAAACTTCTGTCATCAACAACATTATCTATAAAAATGAGTACCATATTCTCATCACATTTTTTCTGGATGCTGTGTGTAGAATGCTGCTAGCTCACTCTTCTTTTTCAAAAAGGACAATCACTACATTCCTAGTTACAACTCAGAAGCTTCAAGTTACTAACACTCAACTTGTAACCAACAAGTCTGGGGACATTTTAAAACCAACCTGCTCTAGAAATAAGAAAAAAAAAAAAAGTAAAATAAATGTTTTGCTAGGAGGAGGAGAGAAATCCATTCTATATGTTAACTATCCTATCAGATTGTGTAGACATTGCCTAGACTATTAAAACCTTCTAGTAACTGATGGGTAATTGCTCATTTGCTGACTGCAGCGGTGTACAGCAGACAGAAGCTGTGAGGGAAGCCATCCTTCCTTGCTAATATAACATGTAGAACTTGCTGCTACTGCAACACTTAATGCTCACAGTACCAAGTCATCTTTAATGCAAACACACATTTTCTGCCTTGCTTCTGTGTTTTCCATTATAATGCAACACAAAAACAGTATACATTTCATTACATCCCTGAGGTTTGCATAAGCAGTTCTAAGTCAGACCAAATATTGTATTGCTCTTATTACAGTGGATAAATATTTTAAAGTTTAGGAATTAAATATTTTATTTTTTCAGTATGCTCTCTGCAACTATTATAAACTTTTCACAGCTTCTTCATTCATGGGAAATCTTTAGGGTTTCCTTTTCTAAATGTAAGGCTATTATTTGTTTCCCCTAACAGAAGTAGATCATAATTAACAAACAAGTTCAATAAATCACTTTCTGCTCGGTGTTAATAAGAACACTATGCTTCTTCATATAAAGAAAGAGACTTTTCTACACGGCAAGTATCTTTTATTATAATAAAGTTTGCTAACCAAAAAAAATGAAGGCTACATCTTTAAGTATATAATTTCTTTATTCATTCTAATAATAGCTGGCATAGATTTTCTGGGCATATATCTCTTACTTGACATAGGTATTTCTCACACTAAATTAAGACAATATATCCTAAGAAGAGCATGTCCTGAGCTGTTTGGTTAAAATTTCCCACAGACTAAGGAACCAAAAAGCTGTTTATACATATGCTTTAAAAGAAGTAGACTAATTATGTCAACTGGTTTATTAATACATAGAGTTCTTTGTCCAATTATTAAAAGAACAAAGAGACAGGGAGCAATTTAAATGTCTAATGCACCTCAAAATCTTTTTTTAAAGTTAATTATGAATCTAAGCAAAGCTACTCTCGAAAGGCCCCTTAGGTTTTATGCAGGTTTAAATAAAATAATAACAATAACATTACCTCATTGGCCAGCTCCAGGAGCACTGGGGCAGCTCCATTTTTCACCACTCCATTCAGGTACCTAGACAAGACAAAGCCAAGTGGTAGTGCAGTGACAAGAAAAGGCCAGCATAGACTTGTCAGCATCCCCTGTGTGTACACGTTTCTCCTGGGCAAATGCCACGCTCAACTCTAGTTAAAGTATGCTACCGTCATAGGAAAGCATTGAAGGAAAAAGGATAACAAAAACAACCTATCTCCAAACCACTGGCAACTAACTACCGAAGTTGGGGGCAGGAAACAGGAACACATCGTTCTCCTTTATGTTCACTCCCTAACATGTAAATAAACACAAAGGTGATTTCTTTTCTTTTCTTTGTTTTTTTTTTTTGAGAGGTTTTTGCTATAGGCACATGCGCTCCCCAGACAGACAGAGAGAGACAGAGAGACAGAAAGCGAGAAATCACCCCCCATGGGGATGGCCACACTGCAATCTCTTCTCCTCCATTCTCCTCTCGGAATCTTGGGCACGCACGCACACGTGTCTGGCGTGAGTTTTAAGCCACCAGGTCCAGGACGCGAACTGCAGTTGACTACATGGGAGTCCAGCGACATAGCCATTACACTAACTGCTGGTCCCAACACAAAGGTGATTTCTAAAGACCTATCTGTATCATTCTGGCTTTATCTATAAATAGACAACCATCACATGGAAAGGAAATAAGTTGGTTTATAGTTTGAAAAAAGCATTCATGTGCCTATCTCATTGTTTTGTTTACATGTGCTTCTTAGGCCTGGCTGACACCTTAATTTATTTAAAAAAAAAAAATTGAAACAGATTCGCCATCAGTGGGGTCAGCATATTTTTGATAGGCAATATAAGGCATCATCTAATCGGCCCTGGATCTCTGTAATACCTCCAGCTCCAAGCAACCCCTAACTACAGTGGAGAAAAAATAAAATAAAATAAAATAAAAACAATCACAACTTTCCAAATCTATCCCAGACATGGATGCTGGAGTGACTTAAAAAAAAAAAAAATTGGGGGGGCCGGTCCATAGTATGCTGGTTAAGGAAGCTGGAACCCACATGGCCAACTGTGTGGTTCAGTCCTGACTCAGTGGCTTGAAAAACATCCCAGCATGTGTGCATGCATCCCTAAACCCCAAGAGGAGAATCGACAAGAAGGGATTGTGATATGGACATTGCCCCTGGAAGGTGCTTTCTCTCTTTGTGTCTCTGGTAAACACACAGGCTCATAGCAAATTTTAAAACAAACAACAACAAAAATAACTAAATGTGCCGTTCTCCTTTGTAAAAACACTTCAAAGGCTCCGCACTATATCTTAAGATAAAATTATAACCACTTAAAAGCTTATGCAAGATTCCTTATAATCTGGTTTCTGCCTACTTAACACCGCCACTGTCTCATCTCTTGTCAATGTCTCTCACTGTACCCTTCACCTGGATAACTCATGAGTTTCAGCTCAGATGTCATCTTCTTCATCCACCACCACCCAAGAGTAAGCTAAGTGCCCCTCACATATGGTCAAGGAACACCCTAGTGTATCCTTCAGGAAATAGCATACTACACTTGCCTAGTGACTTATCTATCTCACCTCTCCCCCCCATAGTATTAAAAGCCTCATTAAGGTTGAAAAATTGTATTTTATTCAATTTAATATGCTTGGCACTGTCTTTGGTTTATAATAAATGACTGTATGATACATATTTTTCTTTAACAAATGAATAATTAAATAATTATTAAAGCCATATTGGACAAGGAAGTAGGATTAGGTACAGACATTTGTTTGGTCAAATAAATCCAGGTTATTTGTCTGATAATAAAAAAAGTCAAAAAGTGAGATCTTTGTGTGTATACATGAACATGTGAACCAAAGTAAACCATCCTTATGCCCGTCTACTCTTCTCAGCATTCTAAGGTCACTAGCCATGAGTAGGAGTTTCTACCTGAGTTAACTCTTACCTGGTGTAGTCATTCATACTCTCAATGATAACAAGTCCAGTTACTGGCCTCAACAGTAAGGAGGCTAGCAGACTTTTGATCTTTTAGCCCTATTACCTTCAGGTCTTCCTCCCAAGTTTGTACCTATTGTTCAGCAAGCTCCTTTGAAGGTTTCGGCTTGCTCAGGGAGGGTGCAGCAGCATAGGGGAATTAAGAGTCTGCAGTTGCCCACGTGTGAGGACCAACCAACACTGAATATACACCCTCTGTATTTAAGTTACAGTAAACTTTTATCAAATCCATTATGGGGCTAGCTTTGATTTTCAGGATCAGAGCACAGTGGGACAGTCTTTCATACGGACACCAGAAACAGATAATAAATTTTAGTATTTCACATGTATACTTAAAAAGGTAAAATAAGGCAAATATGGTTTAGAGGAAGGTCCTTGGGGAGTAAGTCAGGTAAGAACCTTGTCAATTTACACAAACATTTCCATTGCACTGATAGACCTGCTTGAGGAACAACCAATTAGCTTAGTCAAGTCAGATTAACAAATTCTGTGTTCATAATCACCAGAAGAAGGGATATATATTTATTAAGGGCTCTGATTCTAGGACAGTGTATTTAAGCCTATCCTGATGTTGGCATATCTTCACAACATTTTTAACATTCATTAATCCCACAAATATCTGTGAGAGATATGTATCTGGCTTTATTTCAGGTTCTGAAAAGCATCAGAGAAAAAAGTACATCCCTCGGTCCACCATCACAGACATTGTATTACAGCAAAAGATAATTAAAGGACAGGGAAATAGATACTTAATATAATGACATATGCTTTGGTAAACTTAGATGGGTTAGTCAGAAAGCCCTTTTCTAAGGACCAGAGGACTGTTATTTTGATTCAAAATTACATGGTTTCATGTAAAATTTACATTCATCATTATCTAACCAACCTCCACACATCTATCAAATTCAAAGAAACAGTAGGTCAAAAACAATAATTATAATCCCCTATATCTATACAGTCTATATAATACTCAAAGCATGATGATATTTAATCCAGTAAAAATTCCTAATTATGAGGTTGGTGAAACTGAGAAGTTTTACCAACAAACACCAAGGAACTGATGAAACCCATCTGGGCTCTCGAAGGTGGAAAGCAATGAAGCTCAGATATAGAATCACAATCCCCTAAGGCCTAGTGAGGTGCCCTCCTATTTTGAAGAGACTAGGCCTCTTTCTCAGTATATATTTTCCCCAATTCATTTCCCAATATATCCTACAACAAAACCCCATTGTACTCCTTTGAGCAAGACCTTTGGTACCTACCTGCCTTTTCAGGATCTTCTTGCCCTTCTCTACATGTTCTCTATGCTCTGGCTGAGGAACATCCATAGCTTAGCCATTGACTGTTTTCTCTCAGAATGGAATGCCTTCTCCTGCCTAACAAACTAGTAAAGGCGATTCTTATTTTTAGATTGTGCATATGCAAGATTCCTGAACACCCCAAATGGAACTCCCATTGCAATCTGCATAGATACACTTCTGCTAGCAGTTTTCTTACTATATTTACATAATTACATACATAGCTGTTTTCCCACTAGACAAAAAGTTGAAGGCAGGTACTATGTCTTATTACATTTGTATAGTGGCTTCCTACCATAGTAGATAGGACGTGGTGAGTGCAATATACATGGAATTAATTGAGCAAAATGTGGTTTTAATTTGCAGGAACTATTTTGATCATTTACTGTCAAGATCACATTCAAATCAACCTTTATTCCATCTGAATGACATTCATCGATCTGACTCTCTAAAGCTACCAGGGAACCAGCAGTTAGCGTAATGGCTATGTCGCTAGACTCCCATGTAGTCGACCGTGGTTCGCGTCCCAGACCAGGGGGCTTAAAACTCACGCCGGGCGCATGTGCGTGCGTGCCCAAGATCCCGAGAGGAGAATGGAGGAGAAGGGATTGTGGCGTGACCATCCCCCCTGGGGGGTGATTTCTCGCTTTCAGTCTCTATGTTTCTCTCTGTCTGTCTGGCGAGCGCACACACCCTATAGCGAAAATCTCTCCAAAAAAAAAAAAAAGCTACCAGAACAACCCCTAGACTAGTGTGTTTTGGAAGAAGGAGAATATGAGAGACAATATTTCTAAACTTTACTATTGATCAGGACTTGTAAATCTGACTCACGGTGCTAGACAAACCTAAATAAATTTTACCAAGAATGTTTCCTGTTTAGAAATAAAATGGCCTTAATACAATGAGAAAGATTAGAGAATTGTTATCAAATTGAACACTCGGGCTTTGTCTCTAAACATACAACATAGAGAACTACTGTCTGGAGACTTGAGGTTTCAGTTAACTATGATGGAATCACATTAAATACAGATTTCAAATTCTTGATTGGTATCATCTCAGTGCTAGCAAGAATGCAACAACACAGGAATTCTCTTAAATACGTCTAGTAGAAATGTAAACAGTACTCTTCTAGATAGTAATTTGGCAAAATATACTACAGGTTTTAAATGTTCATACTGTTTGCACCGGTAATTACATATATGTAAATGTTTTAAAACTATCCAAAATTCAGACTCATGTATCAAGATGTTTATTACCGTATTATTTACAATATCCGAATATTGGAAACATATATGTTCCACAGAAGAATAATTCAGTAAATTATGAGACTTTCATATAATGAAGTAAGGCAATCAATAAAATGCCTACAAAAAGCTTTTTACATAATAATATTATGCCACATACATTTTTCTAAGTATAAACTTCAGGATTCATGACTGTATGTATGGTATGACCTCATCTATATAAAAATAGGTTGACAAATAACTAGAATGAAAAATGTCAGTAGTTATCTCTGAGTGATACAATTACAGGTGAACATTCATTCCTTTTTTATACCATCATAAATGTGCTTAATTTTCACAATAAGAAAGTATTACTTTTATAAAATAATAAAAAGTAAATCAATTAACATTTTCAAAATGCTTAAATATGGTCTGATATAACACAATTTGTCTTTTTTCTAATCAGCTAAAAAAAAAAAAAAAAACAGGGACATTCAACTGGCACATTTGAAACAAGAAGCTAATGAGACTTTTGAAACCTGGCCCCAGCACCAAGGTAGACCAGAAAGTTAAGAAGCAGATTGCTATGGGAAGAAACTGGTCAGACTGCTTTCTTCAGCCTAACTTCATGTTTTGGCACTAAGTGCTATAACTCCTCAGAAAAATTGAGACTCTCAAAAAAAAAAATACAAATACATTTCTATAGTCTCATTATTGCCTACTCAGCTGTTTATCACTGAGCAACCATACTTTAAAGTTTTTATTTCTGGCATAAAAGACACTTTAATCTAACAAAAGTATGTTCCTACTTCAGTAGTTAAATATGCTTTATAAGAAAACTAGTATTATAAATAGTAGAATGAGGTGCATATCAAAGATCAACCACATTACCTATTACGGTATCTCCCAATTTCTAAAGACATACTTTCTTCTACAATGCTCTTTTTTCCTTTGCTTACATTACAAGACTTTAAAATCTGGACACAAAAGTCAGACCTATAAATAACAACTTAGGACTATAATGTTTGCAAATAAGAATGTACTTTTTGGCCTGTAAATAACTTTTCTCATCTTTCTTGAGCCACTTTAGATGCCAAAGCAGTGGTAGACTTCATGGTATTTCATGGGCTGTCCTTAATTTTATATGTATAATTTAGGTTATGACTCTAATTTAAATGTTAATTTTACCGAGGAGGTTATGACTTTTGAATAAATCAACTCAACCCTTACAAATACTTGTGCAGAAAGAAGCCTCCTAGACACAAAGGGGAAGGAGAGCTGGGGGGAATTGGTGTCTGGGCATTTATCCCCTACAACAAACATGTCTTTTACAACATAGGGCAGGGTGAACAAGTTTTCTTAAAAATCTACTTTAATAATTTTTCAGTTCAATTTCTACCCTGAGTTCCAAAATGACTTTAGAGAAATATGACATCAATATTTTACCTACATGCTTATTTCATTCATAAAACGTTTGTGCACTGAAATCATCTAAAACCAGTGGTACCATTCTCACCATAGAAAGGTTGACCTGTTCATCGTAAGAGTAATAATTTTAGAGCATATTTCAAACAGTTTTTCTTCCCAATCTGCCCTTGAAACATTTGAAAAACTAACAATTTTTAAGGCAAACCATTACCATTTAGTATTACTAATTGTCCAGTCATATTAAAATGACAATAGAAATTTTAGAATGAAAAAATTAGAGCTATTTCAAATACTCTATTTGCTTTCTAAGAAGAGCTTGAAAACTGTTTATAATAAAGTAGCCTGATACTAAAATATCTCTTGAATACTATGCTATTGATTTAATATGTAAGATTTTCTCTTAAAATACAAAACTCCCTTTAAAATGTGATAGTTATGCATTATAATATATCTCCATATGTTGTTGATACATGTCTTTTTTTCTTCATTTCTAAAATGGCCAACCTAATATCTATGATACAAAATACAACTATATCAAAATTCAATCTTCTTTTTCAACTTGTGGACTAAATAAAAAATAAATGAACAGTGGTTTAAGAACTTCCACATATGCATGCAGATACAGGTATATACAAGCAAGTATTTTAATAAGATATGCACTTAATAAGCTTCAAGTTGCCAACAGAGATTTCATAATATTGTAGCTACATCACACACAGCATATGCACACACCCATAAGACAGTCTTACCATATTGTTCAGAACTATGAAACAAAACACTACAAAATATACTAATAGTTTTAACTAAGAGACTTAAAACAAAATGTCTTGGGATATGATATAGAACATTAGTTTAATAGTCTAATTTATTCATAATTATCATTACAATTAGTAGGTACTATGATACCCTCTAGTGGGGCAGGCAGGTCATACCTCTGGTAATAACTTTCAATCGCTTCTGGCGTGTGATGTTTGGCATGTGTTCTTTTAATATGTTTCTGAAACAAGTAACAACAACAAAAAAATCTTTATGTTGTATCACAGATCAGGTTCAAGAACAAAAACGACTTATTTCTTGATCCCAATGACTAGTCTATAAGGCAAAATGAAGAACAGTTTGGGGATTTGAGTGGTGGTAGAACTTTTTCCCCTTCTACTCTATGAACCTATGCATTTTAATCTCTATTGCCTGGCTGGGATGTCTTCAGACTGTACCACGAGGTACAGTATATAAGTAAAAGCCAGCAGGGTCATAGTAATTGAATCTAAATAAGTTTGCTTAGGGCTGCAGAGGGCAAAGAAAAACTTGTTCCTTCTTTCAACCTTTGTATTAATTTTCCCTCAATTCAATTCCATCTAGGTCCTCTGCACTCTAGTTTTACAATCCAATTGCCATTTTTAACCAGGAAGAACATTGCTTAAAAACAACTTATTTGAAAACTACAAAAAGTAATTCCATAGAGACTTGCCACTTGACTGACACCTGTCATCTCATGATAAATGACTCCATTTTCTGCCTCTCTTGCCTTCTGCCACTCCAGCAATGGTCATTTATCATCATCTCTGTCAGCAATGGAAAGCGGCACTGACAGTGCAAGTCAGCAAACATTTAGCACATGGAACCACGCAACACAGGGAAATTATTATTGTCAGAATAATAATGGTTTAGCATAATTTATTACAGGTCCACCAAATAAGCAAAGGCTAGATGTTATTAGACAGATGGATGGGTAGGCTTGGCAGGCCTCCACTGAGACGCAGGCGGTGCTTGATGTGGAAAGGAGAACATCCTCCAACCCAATCAGAGAGCTGGCAGTTCAATTACAAAGAAATAAAGGGACATTCATCATTCAATTAGGCACCTGTCAACCCTCACAAAGGAGAAAACTTCTAACCTGGTACTCCTGGGAGAAGATGCTCAGCAGAGTGGCCTGCGATTGACTGGAACAAATAAAAGAAGGACAAAGTTAATTACTGGAGTGCACGGCAAAGAAACAAAAGAGAAAGGAGCTTCAAAGGTAGGCCTGCTGCCCTGTAATCTAACAGAACATGAAAACAAGTGTGGAAAAGTTGTTCCAGATGAACACCTCAAACAAAGGCTTCCTGCTGCTAGGTCAAGGAGAGAGAAAAAGGGAAAGGGGAAAATAGGGATGCCTCAAAGCAACTATCACATTATTTGGATTTTTTTTAAACTTTAGAATGATTGTAAATCATATCTGTAGCATGCAATGGTGTTAAAAAGGACTACAAGAAAGCAAGGTTTATTTCCATTAATAAACGATAATGTTCAATCCCATAAACAGTGGAGAACTAGAAGTTCATTCGTTGACAACATCCTGAAATTTATTTTGTTAGCAGACAGGTATCCTCTTCTGTAGCTATCTCAGATGCAGGAGAAAAAACTTTGGTCTTTACCAGAAGTAACACAGAAACTACTGGAACGTTCCCATTGATACTGGCTGCTTTGAAAATAGAAGTTTTCTCCACAGGAAGCAAAGGTTCTTGGAATGCGTCATTCCCAAAGACGGCTGTAAGCCTCATTCATCTAAGGCGCCATACAATGCCAAACACCTGGCAAGGAAGCAGCCTGGAAAACTTTCTCCCCAGCTGGGAATTTTCCTCTTGCAATTGTTAACATTTAGAAATAGAATGGAATTTTTCTTTTTCTAGAAAGCAATCCATATCCCACTGCTACTCTTTTGAACTGCCGTCTGATGATAGATCTACCTTATCTATCTTGAAAATGATCATTTCGGATGCATTTTACTACTAAATGAATAGATTAAATATGTAGACTTTGATTGTATGTCAAAGCATGGTGAATATTTTTTTTCTATACATGAATCAAACCTCTCAAGCTCATCACAGATAATCTGAGGAATGTGAAATAAAAAATATCACTGCACTTTTTCCTCACTGTCATAGAGTTGTCATCTTTTGTATACCACCACCAGAGACTTGGCTTCTTTTCTGTTTTTTTGTTTTGTTTTGTTTTTGTTTTTTTAATTTTTTATTTACCAGATGATATGTGTGCTTGCTGAAGAGCGGAAGAGAGAACAAGGGAAGGAAAGTGAGAAACTACCCACCATGGGGAACGGTCATGCTGCAATCCCTTCTCCTTCATTTCATTTCTTCCTCCTTTAGGGATTTTGGGCACCCATACACACACTTGGCATGTTTTTTAAACTGCTAGGTCCAGGACTCAAACCTCATAGTTGGCCATGTGGGAACCAGCCATCTTAACCACCCTACCACCTACTGGCCCCACTTTGGCTTCTAATCCTTTCCACTTTTATCAGGTGATGAGGATTCTTTAAGAAGTTAAAGAAAAATGTGAAGATTAAAAAAACAAAGCATGGATTTGAAAATATGTTTTGTGCCCCCCCCAATCATATTCTTTTTTTTTTTTGGAGAGGATTTTGTCATAGGGCGTGCGTGCGCTCGTCAGAAAGACACAGAAAGACAGAGAGACAGAAAGAGCGAGAAATCACCCCCTGGGGGATGGCCACGCCACAATCCCTTCTCCATTTTCCTCTTGGGATCTTGGGCACGCATGCACACACACCCGGCATGAGTTTAAGCCACTGGGTCCAGGACTCAAACCACAGTCAACTACATGGGAATCCAGTGATGTAGCCACTACACCATCTGCTGGTCCCATTTCATTTGATTATTCACATTTTTTTCGCTGTCCCTTTGTATAAAAGTATGTTAAAAAAAAACCCACATATATTCACAAGGAAAACCAACAGACTATTTCAATAACTCAAAAGGATTAGGAAATGATTAAATACAATTATAAATTCACTATGTCCAAATTTTTGAAATTCCCTTTAGAACTGGGGTCCACCTTTGAAAAAGTCAATTTGTTATATAAAATCCTCCTATTCTATCTGGCTTGCCTGGACTCAATGGACAAATCACACACCTCGGTAGGATTGCTGATAACAATCCCTAGGGGAGAAAAATGGCAAAACAAAGCCCAGATCTTTGTAATATACTTAATAAATCAATATATCAGATATTTATGTGGAATAAACAGACCCCTCCTCACTGTACAGCAGAATACTTTTTAAAAATCATTTAATGATAAACCTAATATTGTCCTTTATATTCCAAAAAATATGACTGATTTAAATGTGTTTGGAATGAGCAAGTCAGGGACCAATAACCACTGAGGAAGAAACTAAAATGTATATAAAACAAAATGTATTTGCAGATGCTCAGAATAGGAAGACAAAGAGAAGTTGGAGAAATAAGTTTAAAAATAAGGAATTCAAAATGAGAAGTTGTTGCAGGAGTTGAGAGTACTGTATACACTAAGAATGAAACAAAGCCCTTAGCCAAACAAAGATAAAACATAATGTATTTCAATTACTTAGAATTCAATTCTGCTACAACCATGAACAGAGCCTATGGAATGGCCTGGTTTTTCTGTGGATAAGAGAACAGAGAGAAGATTCTATCTTATGCTGGGTATAAAATAGGCTAGAACTGAAAAAAGAACATGACTTACATGGTAACAACAGAAAGACTTGGGTCCACAATGTTTGGTTTTACTTGACTAAAAGAGCTGTAGAGAACTAAGTGACCTTTGCTAGGTAGTTTGTCAGTCACCTGTCTGTTCCTGTACTTGCTAACCTTATGAAAGAGTTTTCTGAACAGCTGCCATATAATGAAACAGTAAGGTAGTTTGAGTGCAACAGAGACATTGACTCTAGTGCAAGTTATTTGTTCTTTCTTCCAATGTGTTAGTATTGAGAAGGGATACGAGAGAGAGAGAGAGAGAGAGAGAGAGAGAAAGAGAGATGATGCAAGTATGGAGGGGAATGGAGTCCTGGGATCTCAATGCTACATCTCTGGAGGGCTCACCAAATCCACCCTCCCCACACCACACCCTCCACTTAGTGTTTGATTTGTCTTGGCAAAAGGTAACAAAAGTTGTAGTATAAATTCAACATTCACTGGGTTCATGGGAATATGGTTTCCAGCTAAAGAGAGGAGTAAAGGACCACGCAAAGAGAAGATTTATCTTAAACATCACCGTGACAGTACCCACAGTGCATCTACAAAGTACCAAAGCCATGGGAATGGAGAACTATGCCATTAGAATTAAAAAAAAAAAATTAAATAAGGTGAGCAGGAATTGACTCAGCAAAAACTTTCATCATACACATTTTAAAAGGGCAAAAAATAGAACACTGTCGAGTTCATTTTTTAAAATGGAACTAGTGAAGGAAGTCATCCCTTAGTCTTCACATATTTCAAAACTGTATTGGCTTTGGAGCATATATGCATCACTTAGCTTATATGGTGTTTTAAACTTAAATATTCACAAATGCCATCATAACTTACACCCAAAACCTAAGATATATCAATAAAACCTCATTAAAGGTTTTGTTTATATCTCCCAAATGAAGCTCCTCACCCTACAGTTGTCTGAGCAAAAGACAGCATGTGAGTGTACCTCTAAAGTGTTTATATTAAAACCCTTCCCCAGTCTGGAACAGAAGCAGCCATGAGAATAAAGCCAACACATTGAGCAAAAGGAAGAGAAGATAGACAGACTCCAGGTCCTTGAGAACGCTGTTAAGTTGCTCAAGTGACCATGGAATTGAATTGACCAGACTCCATACTTATTATTCTATATAGTAACACAAGCCTTTGTTTTTTTCCTTAACCTCAAAATTAAGAAATAAAACTCTGCCCAGGTTTCGGTGTTCCCTTGTAAGGAGGCACTGTGATGGAGAGAGGATTCTAAGACAGAGTATTCATAATGATGGCACATATACTGGAGTATTTGAAAGGGACCATCCATTCCCACACTTGCTAGTTCTCTTCTTAGTTGGCAGCCATATTTGACTTCCCTAGAATTCTTCCATTACTGTGCCACTAAATTGATGCGTCTAGATATCATAAGTTTGTGTATGATTTTTCCATGAGATTTTAAACACTGATGGGATACTATTTACTCTCATTTTATAACGTAGCAAACATTTGTCAAATACCAGGGACATAATTAAGTAACAAACTAGTGTCCCATGCAGTAGTTAACATACCTTAAACCCACAGAACTAAAAATACTAAGTAACCTGAAGGATATTAGAGAAAATGAACATCTGAGGGTTGGATGAGTATAACACATACAAAAAGCAGAGCTTAGTGTAGACTTAATGGCAATGCAACATTCATACAAACATGAGGTCCTCAAGTTCCCAGCTGAACACATTAAGCAAGTAGAATCTTAAGAAGATGACACCACACATTTTATGTTCTTCCTTTTCCGAAGTGCCCAAACTCTGAAAAAAGACTGTAAAAAGGCACATACCTTTCACTTTGAAGCTCTTTTTGCTATAGAATCTTGGAAGCTTGGGACCAGCAGTTAGTATAATGGCTATGTTGCGGGACTCCCACATAGTCGACCGTGGTTCGCGTCCTGGACCCGATGGCTTAAAACTTACGCTGGGCACATGTATGTGCATGCCCAAGATCTCAAGAGGAAAATGGAGGAGAAGGGATTGCGGCATGGCCATCCCCCCTTAGGGGTGATTTCTCGCTTTCTGTCTCTCTGTCTCTTTCTGTCTGTCTGATGAGCGCACGCACCCTATACCAAAAACCTCTCCAAAAAAAAAAAAGAATCTCAGAAGCTTAAATGTTTATACTCTACGAGGCTCAACATTCTGTCAGCAAAATATTAATAGAATTCAGAAAGCATTAAACCAATGAAAGAGAGATAAAGCTGGATACTCCTACAAAGCGTTAGGCTTGGAGACCTTGCAATTGCAAGGCACAGCCTCTCCCAGACTGTAAAGGACTACAATGGAACACTGGCTCTGTGCTATTCATGATTCAGAGTGCTGGTCAAGGAAGAGTTTCTATAAAAGCAATGAAGCAATCCTCCCTGTACCCCTCTCCCAAATACACACCTACACACAAAAAAG